CCTTGTAACAATGCCCGTGGGACACGAAAACACTACCTCAAGCGGCAGCGGTGTAGCCTAGCCTCCTAAATTTCTTCTTTCAGCTTTCGTGACAGCCCTTTCAGTCTCTGTAATCAGAGCAGCGGCTGAATTTTTTTCTCACAGGCGGAGCAACGCTCAGCCCGATTCGGAGCTGCGTATCAGTGAGTGAGTGAGTGAAATATATACACATATGCACAGAACAGCCCCAAAACAGGGATCGCCATGTTTCAGCTCCTCCATCCTCATCAGTCTTGGGGGGGGGGGGGGTGTATACTGCCGGTTAGGAATCGATGTGCAGACAACAGGATAGAAGGGTGGAGATGGAGGTTAGGTGGCTTAGGTTTTAGAGTCTGAGCGTTCAGGGTGCAGGGTTCTAGGCTTCTAGGGTTCTAGTGCTTGAGGGTTGCAGGGTTTTAGGGTTCTAGGGTTTCAGGGTTTTAGGCTTTTAGGGTTTTAGGGTTTTAGGGTTTAGGGTTGTAGGGTTTTAGGGCTTTAGGGTTGTAGGGTTTTAGGGTTGTAGGGTTTAGGGTGGGTCGGACTTTGGTGTTGCGCGTCCGGAGGATGTCATGGTGGACTCCTTCTTCTGGCGCGACCCCGAGGAGATCATGCAGCAGGACGGAGGGTTTAGGCTCTCGAGTTTAGGGTTTAGGGTTTAGGGTTCAGGGTCTAGGATTTCGCGTTTAGGGTTTAGGGTTTAGGGTTTAGGGTTTAGGTTTAGCCCCGGCGACCGAAACCCTAGCCCTCTACAGTCGCACCCCGAAACTTTGAGGTCGAAACCCAAAGCGCCAAGTTACACACCTTAGCCACACAGGGAGAGTATTCATGGGTGGTGTAAAGAAGGGTGACAAAACAAATTGCCTAACTAAGGTCATAGCACAGGTTACCACGCTTAAAGTTCATCCTAAGTCTGATTGTAGATACCTTCAACCAATCCTATACCAACCCCATTGACCACTGCGCAGGAAGCTTGAGGAACCCCAAGCCCCACATCCTAAACCCAATAGACAGCCTCTCCCATATACCCTTCAAACAGGGGCTGGTCTCCAGTTCTCACCAGCTGGGGCTGCAAGCGGCCCGTAACGTAGCCCTAAATCCTAAACCCGAAACCCCGAACCACTTCTCCTTCGGCCGGCGCGAGGACGAGCCTGAAGCGCAGGATTGGGGCGCACCCCAGGCCTTTCTGATTTTAGGGTTTTGGGGGTCGTTTCGGGCCGCACACTCTTGTTTCGGGCCGCTGGGCGCCAAAACCTGACTACAAAAAGGTGGTTGGGGTGGCTTTGACAATGAGGCATGTTGGGTTGAGGCTTAAGCGGTGAATTGGAGGTGTAGAGCGTAGAGTCTCTTTTTCAAGTACCTGGCACCTCATCCCTCCAACTCTAAGTCATGCAGAGGTCTTCAAAGACAGTCCATACCCAGAATCCTCCAAACCCAAACCCCCAACACCTAAACTCCAAACCGTAGATCCTAAAGCTCGGCCCTACTACCCTAAGCCATTGAAGTCAAAACCCTACAGCCCGCCGGAGGCTTCGAGTTTAAGGTGGCCACTCCTCCCCCTAAAACACGCCAGAAGTCCCATTTCTACAGTCGGCACCCTCTGGCCATTTAAAGTTGTAGTTCCCGAGAGATAGCTTGAGGCAGTGATGGCCGAGATAGAGAGATGCGGCTTGAAAGGGCTCGAACTTACATAGTTCTGGCAACCCTAATGCCCAGCTGCCGCTTGCCGGACTGATCTTACGAATATTATGTATATGTGTGTATTATATACATATGTAAAATTAATTGACGTTCATTTTTAAGGTATTTACATACGCAACCAAACTAGACCCCAAAACCTAAGAACTTACAAGCCCGATTATTCCCTGTAGAACCTTACAAGCCCTCTAAGCCACATCACCGCCGAACCAAACCTTGAACGAAGCTTGCTTACACGTGGTACACACCTTAGCTCAGGCACCTGCAACTTACAACTACCACTAATCTCAACCCTAAACCAACCCACAAGCCCTAAACCCTAAGCCCTAAACCCCAAAACCCTCAACCCTAAACCCTAAGCCTCCGAGCTCCACTCATGTTGAAGTGGTGTTAGGCCCAGCCTGCCCCGGCCCAGTGGGAAGGCGCTGGAGCCGGCGCGCTGGGGAGTCGGGGGGTGAGTCGGGAGGTGTAGGGTTTAGGGTTTACGCTTTAGGGTTTAGGGTTTTGGGTTTTGGGTTCAACAAAAGTTGTTCTTACTAGGGTCCTGCCCCAGGGTGCAGAGTTTGGGGGCTTCTCGGGTTTGCTTTCAGCACTCGGGATTCCGAGCCACTAACCTGGAGCTCCATGTCCCGCTCAGTGTTTGGCTTACGGCGCCGGGGTTTAGGGTTTAGGGTCAGGGGTCTACTTGGGACCTCTTGAGGCGCCGAGACATAGGGTTCTAACTACCAGCCTAGGACAGTGGCTACCTGTACTTTTCATCCCTACTTTTGAATTTAACGACTCATGAATCACCGGCCTGGCATTTTGCCTCTCGAAGGGGGGTGAAGACACACCCAAGGATCAAGGCACATTGTCCTTTCCGAAAGGGAGAATGTGGTCAGCTCTCCTCACTGCCCATCCCGTTCCCTGTGCATACTTGAAGTCCCCAGACCCGAAACCGAAGTTGGAGGTTTCATGACCCTGCTCAGGAGGCAACTGGGATGACATGACGCAGGCTGCGCCTCGATCCGAAGTCGGTGGGTTTTTGAAACGAGAAGGGTCATGGCTTTCAGCGTGGCTGCAGAATGTCGGGTTTACGCTTCAGGGCCTAAGGTTCAACAACCGTGTTTTTTTGCACATGCTTTGGATTGCATGATTCTGGCATTTCTGTGCATGCGGCTGCTAGTCGGCCAGGACGAGTGTGTAGGCAGGTAGGTGGGGGCGGGTAGGTAGCAGCCCTTCCCTGCTGTGTGCACTGCTTCCGGGGTACAGACATGTTTCTTGTGGTCCTGGGCTGCAAGGGTTTAGGCTTTAGGGCCTGTTTAGGGTCTCAACTCTGAGCCATGGAACAGCATCTGAGGCAGTCATTGGGGCATTCGGTCAAATGGTGCATTACGATTATTGCTAGCACTGCTGTCTGAATATACTTCGGAAAATTAAATACAGATAAATATAAATAATATATATATATATATGTATGTATGTATATGTACATGTGCAAGAAATGGTATTCAATCGAAAGATGCATGTATGTTTAAACTAAACATATGCATATGTACATCTCTGTATATTGCTCAGTAATGTATACCTGTATATGTGACCTGTATATGTCCATGAACACAGTATACTCAAATGCTAACACACCCTAAACCCTAAACCCTAAACCCTAAACCCTTAACCCTTAACCCTCAACCCTAAACCCTAAACCCTAAACTCTAAACCCATTCTTGGAGCTGGTGGACTGAGGCGCACCGCGGTGGCGACGCCGGCTGGGAGAACACCGGCGCAGACGACTGGAGCTCGTGGCTGCAATTTGCACTTGGAGGTTCATGGTACTTAGTAACACAGTTATGACCACATTAGGGTTTGGGGTTTAGGGTTTAGGGTTTAGGGTTTAGGGGTATTTATAACCCAATTATAACCAGATTACGGCAATTTTTTGTGCCATGAACCTCCAAGCAAAAGCTTTTGGCCCCCTGAAGTTCGACCCATGACGAAGGTTCCCCCTGATGCTAAGAGTCCTTAAGAGGGATTTTGGTACCCTGCTATAATAATCTACCCAGAATCCATCTGAAGCCCCAAAACCCTAAATCCACTGTACCTAGCGGCCCTGAAGCCCTCAAAGCCCTAAAAGCCCCAGAATCTCCAACAAGAACCTGTAAGCCCCTTGCGCCCGTGATGAAGCCCGGCCAAACTTCCAAAGGAAACCCTTCCTAAACTCCCTAAGCCTCTGATAAACCCCCTCTACAAACCCAGCCCCCCCATCCCGAAAGAATATTTCCCCTTCAAGACCATCGACAGGAGTGCGCCGGCAGCTCAGGGGCAGAGCAACTGGTGAGCAATCAGGCGCAGGCTGCCCAAAACCCTAATAGAATGAGGACCTAGACCTCAGAGTTTGGGGGCCTGGCTTGGGGTGCTGTTCCCTTTTTGAGGGGTTAGTTTCCTGATCGTTCGGCTGCATGAAGCAACCGGGGCGCCCGTTTAGTGCTAGGCTTCTGGCGAGTCTAGCCCATCCAGTTTCCTTCCCGAGCCCGTACAAATCCTAAGGCCCTAAACCGCCTAAACCTAATTAAGTCCTGAACCATTGGACCCTTGGAAATGCAAGCCAATCTGAGACATTGAAACCTGAACGAACGTGTTTGAACATCGAAGCATTGCGTGATTAACTTTGATTTCTGCGGAAGCGCCACAGGGCCCAAGCCGACCATGCACGAATGTCACGAAACCCTGAACCTTGAAACCTGATTAAACCTTATAAACCTCGTGAACCTTACAAACCGGACTCCTATTTAAGAAATGCCCAGCTAAACCTTGGGACTTTGTTAAATGCACATATAAACCTTGAAAACCCTTAACCCGAAAACCTTGGCCCATTGACCTGGCAGGCTGCAGGAACTTGAAGCCAAGCAGGGCAACGGATGCGTTCGCGAAGCGCGGAAAAAGGTGAAAGCATGGGGGCTTTGTTGCAGCCATGAGCCCGGAATTCCGTAGAAATTCACAAGCCCTAGAAGCCCAAACCTTCTCAGCCCCTGAGTCCTCGAACGGCTTTTTGTTCAACTCCATGTTCGGGGGCTTCGCAAGCCAGGAGCGAGAGCTGTTGTAAACAAATACTCTAAAACCTAAACCCCAAGCGGCAGCAGTTGGCAGAGGCTACCCCACGCCCCGGTCCACACCTTCAGTCCTGAGCCCAAAAGCCCGCACAGGGTTTAGGGCTCACAGGGTTCAGGGCTTAGGTTAGGGTTTAGGGTTTTAATTATAGGGTTAGGGCAACCTCCCCGAACCCTGAGCCCTAAACTCACTTCTGGCAGCTCGTCATCATGTCCTTCGAGTGCCTGCGGCTGATGATGAGGGCGGTCGATGAGGCCAGAGGGCCCTAAACCCGAAGCCCTACACCGCCCCTGGCTACTATACGGGTCGGAATAATTTATAATAGTATTCCCTTATGGTCCCTTTGTAATTATGCTATCATAACCCCCCAAAACACTGTTCTAGTTTTACATGGCCCCTATACTACCTTTCAAGCATGGGAGGCCTACGTCTCTGCAACAATCGTTGCGTTTCCCACCATGCTGGCATCATTGCCAAGTAAAAGTCAAGTAGAAAGGCCCGTTCCCAACAAGCTATGTGGTATACAAAAACCTGTAACTCAAGAAAGCATCTATGAGTATTTTGAGTGGATTTAATCAGGGGACAGCGTTTGCTTTCTTTCTGCAGGGCCTTCGGCTGCCCGAAGCCATAAGTCCAAACACCCGAAGCCCTAAACCCGAAGCCTAAACCCTAAACCCTGAATCTGGAGGCGGTGAATTCCATCTCTCACCGAACGACGCTGAAGAACTTGGGCGCCTTCCTAGGTTGGACCTTCTGGGCACATGACGACATGCTGCAGTTCGGGGTTTAATAGATTTAGGGTTTCGTTAGGGGAAGGCTTTGCTTCAGGCTTGTGATTTTGCAGGGGAGTGGGCATCCTATGGTCTCTTTAGGTTTCCATGATTTCAGGAGTTCTATATAGGCTGAGGGTTCAGGCTGAGGGTGTATGATTGAAGGGTTACGGGTTCAGGGTTCAGGCTTGCAGGCGGCTTGAAGAAGCTAGATCCTTAGAGTTTTGGAGGGTAAGGTAAGAAGGCTAACGGGTCTGATGGTTGCTGACGGCCTCTACCGAGGCGGCAACCTCGTCACTTCAATGCTGCACTGCGTCACGATGTCAAACCCTAAGCTCTGAACCCTTAAGCGCCAGATCCGTACTCCCCAGAGCAAGAAATCCAGTCTTGGGGCTTTTTGGGGGTCTTCGGTTTTTTTATTCTGAAGGGTTTGAGGTTTTCTGAGTTTTTGAATTTGGCGAAGGGCTTTAGTGTATCATAGGGGTTGGGGTTTGCAGGTTACAGTTGTAGGGCTCTCCGGCTGAGGGGAGTTTAACGTCCGCAGTTAACGCCGGCATGGCAGGTCGCATCACGATTGGCCGAGACCAGCCGCTCAAGAGCTCCCTGGTTCAATCTGAGAAGACTCAGCTTTAGTCTTGGTAGCCCAGTGGTACCCATTTCCACTTTGTTTGGTTCTGGGTTCCCTTGTAAAGTACCCAACCCCCCAAAAAGGTGCCCTTTTTCAAGGAGAATATGGTTACTGGGCGACCAAGTAGTCCTTGACAGGCTGAGACGGCCTCCCCAGAGTTCAGGGTTCAGGGTTCAGGGTTTAGGGTTTAGGGTTCCTTCCCAGGCCGGAGCATGGACATCAAGGACCTCCTCTTGGACGCCTACGAGCCGGCTTGCTGAACTTCGGGTCTCCTTCTTTTGGGTTTAGGGTTTAGTGTTTTGGATTTGGGGTCTAGGGTTGAGGGTTGAGGGTTTAGGGTTTGGGGTTAAGGTTTTAAGGTCTGCCCGGCTCGCCAACTGCACCTCCTGCGGGCGTTGGACTACTAGTCGGTACCTGACACTCTTACTTAACTCAAGCACCAAGCGATGACCCTTGGGGGAGATCATGATCTCAATTGACTCCTTCTGTGTTGTCCTGTTTTGAAGATAGTTAGAAGCGCGGTTAGAAGTACCTTCGTTGGGGGCGTGACGTAGGTGATGCGAGTTACGAGTCTTGCAACTACCCCTGAAACTTCCCTAAACCCTCAACCCTCAACCCTCAACCCTAAACCCTAAACCCTAAACGGCAAACCCTCGCTCAGGAACTCACGGCTGACTGCTGTGCTCCCGCTGGCGTGCAAGGCACGGCATACCATGTCAGCCTTTCTGAGGATCCCATCGATGGTTTAGGGTCTAGGGTTAAGGGTTCAGGGGTTTGGAGTTTAGGGTTTAGCAGTTTGTGTTCAGGGTACAAGGATAAAGTAGTGGCTTAGAATCCCCCCCCGCCTACTTCTGCCACATAACTAGAGGGGTTTAGATCCCAAGCCCCCCAAGACGCTTGGAGGCTTCGACGGTCCTTGAAGACCCTTGCTCTTTTTTTTTGGAGGGGGGGGAAGGGCTTGAGGGTGTAGAGGGTTCAGGTCCCATAGCAAGTTGGCTTGAAGCACGTGTTAGGGGGTTTGGGGTTTCTGGATTTAGGAGTTTGGGGGTTCAGGATTCCTTGGGGGATGCCAAGCAGTTGCTTCGAAGAAGAGCTGCCCCCTTACAAGAGCTCGGGAAGGTCCGTTGCTGTCAGGTGTCCCTAAGCCCGTCACCCTAAACCCTAAACCCTAAATCTGTTAACCCTGGAGCCCTTAACCCAGAACCCTGAACTCACCATCCTCTAAACCACTAAGCCCTAAATCCTAAATCCTAAACCACCGAGTTTCTGGTTTAGGGTTGGGATGTTCCCCCTTATACTAACAGTCCTTAGCAACTAGTAGGTATTATAGTACCCCCTAATATAATCCCTATTAAGCACTGTCAGAAAAAGGGGGAACATCCCAAGTTTAAGGGTATTTTCGGCGTTCTTGCTGTGGGCAGCGGCCCAGCAATAGATCAGACGCTTGCATCGGCTCAGGCTTGGTGGGCTTTGCGGGTTTCGAGGGTTTTTTAGCTGTTGCTGGCCTCAAGGAAGGGTCCAGGCCCTATACCTCAACCCTCAACCCTCAACCCTCAACCCTCAACCCTCAACCCTCAACCCTCAACCCTCAACCCTCAACCCTCAACCCTCAACCCTCAACCCTCAACCCTCAACCCTCAACCCTCAACCCTCAACCCTCAACCCTCAACCCTCAACCCTCAACCCTCAACCCTAAACCCACCCAGGCCCGATATCCCAACACCTCGGCTGTCTGAAGCCTCGAATTCCGGCCGACAGATCCTGGAGTCCATCAGCAGATCGCGAGCGCCGGGCGCTCACTTGGCACGCAAATCATCCCCGGAGCCTTGATGCTTGAGGTGAGGGGAGTTTAGGGTTTACGGTTTGAATTAGGGTTAGCAGGGAATTTATAGGGTTTCGGGTTGAATTAGGGTTTAGGGTTTTAGGTTTGGGGTTAAGTTTAAAGTGAGGGAATCTAGGGTTTAGGGGGGGCTGACCCCGAAGCGCTGATTACCCCTTGCAGTATGCCTGGAAGCCCCTCAGTAAAATTGGCCCTAATCCTGACAGTAGTCCCGAAACTCTAAACCCTAAACCCTCTGCCCTCTGATCCTCATGCCTCAGGTTCAAGCTTCCGTCGCCGTGGTCCATGGGTCTGCTGCTGCCTGGCTCCATCTAGGGACTAAAGGAGGGACTCCTATAAGGGACCTTAGGGGTTCTTTAGGGGCTACTTAGGTATATAGGGACTATATAAGGTATGTGTAGGGGTTATATAAGGGGAATAAGATGAAGGGTCCCTTCTAGGGGTCCCTTCTTATACTCCTTAGCTCCAGCTTGTTTAGGGTTTGCTGTAGCTTCGGCAACCCTTATCAGACACGTAAAAGCCTCTTAAGCCCTTCCCACCATTCAACCCTTAACCCTGCAAACCCGAACTTTTTAAGTCCCAACGGCCCCCGAGGCTTTCAGAGGTTTCCTGTTGGAGGGGGTTTGTGCGGCTTGGGGGTTTCGAGGCTTTGAGCACTTCGGCTTGTGGTGCAGGAATTTTAAGGTTTCGGTGTGTTTCAGTCATGTTTTCGGGGTTCAAAGGGCATCTTGCGGTTCAGGGGCTTAGAGAGGCTTGGAGATTTTCGCACTTGAGCCAGGTGCGGTTCAGGCTCTCATGGTTTCAGCCCCGGCCGAGGTCGTTGCTGGCAGAGATCCACTCAGCCGGCACTCCCAGTCTGGCAGGCTTTCATGGGAAGAAAGGCTTGGGTTTGTAAACCACATTCACGAACTGTTGTGTATGTATGCATATTTCATATATAGAGCCTCCAGGTGCTTTGCTAGTTCAAGAAGCCCGAAACTCGCGCCCAGATCCCAGCGCTGAAGACGAACCTCACCTTCGAAGTGGAGGCCGGGTCGGGGAGGGCTGAAACGTGCCGTGAAGCCTAAACCCCATGCTCCACAAAGGTCGGGCTCAGGGGTTACGGAATCTCTATAGTTCGGCCCTACACAATGCCTGAAATCCGAGGCTTAGGGAAGGCCTAGTTCAAGGCTGTACTGATAAGGTCATAGCTGAAAGTATAACTACCCATGTACTTTCAGGTAACCTTTACACATGAAGGCCATCGAACAAACAAAAAGCCAGCGCGTCGGCTGTCACTTCATTGGAACATTCTCTCGAGCCTTGAGGACCATTGCTGACATTTTAGGTTTGGGGTTGAGGGCTTAAGGGCTCAGACTATGGGGTTTTCATTACACTTTATGATTAAAGTTCCTGAAAACTCGAGATCTCTTTCGCTTTCAGTGTCCATAGCCTCTGCATGAAGTTTGTCAACTTCCCAGCTTGCATCTGTGTCGCCAGGTGCTGTTCCGGCATCTGGAGATACAGGTCAAAGACATCGCGAAGAGCGTGTCCTGGCCAAACTGAGAAGGCATCAGTTCCTGCCGTGATTCATGTATGGCCCAAACGCCATCCCGCCAAGCCGACAAACGACCATCGCCACCCCCCCCCCCCGGAACCCCCCAACCTTGCCGAAAAGTCCTGTTCAGGATTGCTTGTATCTAGCTCCATCTTACATTCATAGCACTGTAACTGGGACCCTCTATAGGTTTCAGTAAAACCGGGCTACCCTTCGTCCACCGCAGCACTCAACAAACATTACCCCGATTGTCAGCTGCGGGCCCTGAAAGATGGTCTCGCTTGTGTTTGTCGGCATGGTTCAGGGTTTTAGGATAATATAGGGGTCGGAATACATACCAAAAGTATCCCCTTATGGTCCCTTTATAAGTCAACAGCCCCCCCTCCCCCCCCCCCGCCCCAAAACCCTATTCTAATTATTCAGGCCCCTGTATTAGGGGTTTTGGGGTTTGAGGTCATCGACCCGGCATTTTCCGGACTCTCGACCTCTGGACGTCCTCGGATATTTTGGGCACCGGAGAGGGGACACACCTTGCTGGAGGGTTTTTGCCGATGCCGCCCAGGACCTGCTGCGTACCAAGCGGGCACCCGCGCCAGGAAGCTGGGGCCTCGGCTAGCTACACAGGGGGAGGGGGGGGGGGGCGGGGGCTGCTGTAAGTCTGCCGAAATTAAGCAAGAAGCCCTCTTGGAGGGCGGTAATATACAAGGAGTCTAAATGTACCCACAGCCTTTGTTTAGTGTACGGCTTTGGCAGCTTCCCTTGGCTTCTGCTCTGGTGGTGCAGGCTGCGACCTCAACTCGCAGCGGTTGCACGAGCGACAGGTGCCGCAACTTTCCCGGGGCAGTCTGGAATGTTGGGCTTTCGATCCCCGGAATCTGTACAACCATCCACTAGCTTGGTTTTGAAGCTAGTTTCTGACTTCTTTTTTCTAAGGGTCCATTAGAGTCGGTTTTGCTATAAAGAGGTGATAAAATTCTAAAAACGGTTCAGTGCACTGGTTCGTACTCGGAAACTTCAAGTAGAGAACTGTCAGAGGAACAGGAAGACACATACTCCCCAACAGCTTCATAACCCTGCCCCAAACCCTAGAAGCCTCTAAAACGCAAACTCTAAGCCTCCAAAAGCGAAGCCGCACAGCTGTGCACCCCTGAAAGCTCGCGCAAAATGAGGCCCCTGACAAGGTCGGGTTACTAGGGCATGTAGATGGGCGAGCGCGGGGTGTGGTGCTTGACAATGGAAGGAGGCTTCCGTCACACTGCCGCTGTCGGGGTGGAGACGAGGGGATAGGTCTTAAGCTTTTGCATCTCCTAAGTCAGGTGAACCTTTAAAGCCCTCGCAGCCCCACGACATCTTATGTGGCCTGTAGTTCTTGAAGCCATAATGCCCCCTTCCCCCTCGAAGGCGACCAGATGCAAACACCCTTTAATCCCAATGCGTGTCATGCTGCCTCGTTGGAGGTTTGAGTTTCAAGTTTGGGAGCTGCAAGGTCAATCATCCCTCACGAAGCATGCCCCGACCTAAGCCCTAAACACTCAACCCCCCTCCTCCCCCCCCGGCCCGTTTATGCCTCGTAAACCAAGCCACCGAAGCACCAAAGCCCAGCAGGATGCACAGCAGGAAATGCCCGGGGTCCCAGTTGGGGCTTCCGCGGCTTACGTTCGAGGGTTGAGGGACGTAGGGTCTAGGGCCGAGGGGTTTAGGATGGGACTATCGAGGGTCCCTGAATGCTGCGAAGGACAGCGCCGGGTCAACTGAAGCTCCATTCCTACAGTGACAGTGTTGCTCGACACGCATGAGGGGAGACACTGGGAGACAAAGGTTCAAGAGTTTAGGGTCTAGGGCAGGGTTCTTCTCAGCGTCAAACACTCAACCATAATCACTATGTATCATCTCTAGAATCCTATAAACTACCCCGCAAGCCCACGCCACAAGCCCTGACATCTGTAACCAGTGAACCCCACAGCCTCCTAAACCCTAAGCCCTAAGCCCTAAACCCTAAGCCCTAAACCCTAAACCCTAAACCCTAAACCTGAAAAAACCGACCAAACCCCCCAAACCCCCCAAACCCCCCAAACCCCCCAAACCCCCCAAGCCCCCCAAATCCCCCAAGCCCCCCAAACCCCCCAAACCCCCCAAGCCCCCCAAACCCCCCAAACCCCCCAAACACCTTAAACCCCCCAAAACCTCATCGCAGGCCAGGCCTCGGAATGAGGCCACGCGGGACTGGGGGGTGGGATCGAGTTTAGGGGTGCAGCATGTGTTGTGGGGTTTAGGGTTTAGGGTTTGGGGTTTGGGGTTTAGGGTTTAGGGTTTAGGGTTCCTAGAGTCATATAGGGTTGAATAGGGTGCAGCAAAGGCTCCTGGGGCTTGTAGGGTCGATTGTCTTGCGGCTGAATCCTAAACCCCTACATTCCGTAAGGCCTGTCTTGAGAGAAGCTTAATTCAAAATACCCCCCCCCAAAAAGGGACCGGGAGGGCTATGACACTAGGACCGGGAGTAGGCCCTTATTACATTTTTTTGGGGTAAAATTTCCCTTATAATCCCCTTAAAACCAAAAAGGTACCCTTTTTATTCCTAGGTTATTACAGTCTAGGGTATATGTCAGGACCGAAGCCGAGATTCACGGAGTTGCCCGCGATTCCTGCAGGTCCTTGGTTCTTGAAAACTCAAAACCGCAACTCCAGGTCTACTCCGCCATGCCAAGGGGCCTGGTTACTTGTTTGGGGTTTAGGGTCTGAGATCTTTTTCAAAAGGCCAAAGTAGGGGCCCCTTTACCACCCCCCCCCCCCCCCCCCACACTAGCCCAAGATCTAGCTACAAGGATCCGGTCTCCAAGACCGTCAGCCCCCAAAAACGCTTCCGCTGTGGCAGGCAGCAGGCATCTGCATCCGCCGTTCATTCTCAGCAGATGTGGATGGGCAGGGGGGCCCATAGGGTTTAACCCTCGATCCTGAACCCACCCAAGGGTTCAGGATGTTCAGGGGGTTGTGGTAGAGGATGAGGATTTCGAGCTCGCATCTCCCAGGGCGGGAATTTAGGAGGGTGTTGGGGTTGAATGCGTCTTAGGATTTAGGGGCTTTAATGAGGGTTAGTTAGGGTTTGCTTAGGGCGTCGCTTAGTTTAGTTCGAGTTGGGTTCAGAGCCACTTGGGCTCTTGTTTTGACGTGACTGGGGAACGACCAGTAGGTCCTACTTTCCTGGAGGTTTCGTACATAAGTAGTGCACCCCAAAGCCGATAAAGCCTAAAGCCTAACACGAAACCCTACACCCTAACCCGACACCCTGCACCCTGGTAGTTAGGGAGATGTCTGATGCAAGTTGGGAATTCATCGCCCAAAGTAGGGACCTTGCCAAAAAGCGGCCCCTTCTGTTTCGGGTACCCCAAAGGGATGATATGCACCCCCTCAACCCAACCCTCACGGTGCGGTTGCTTGGAGGTGGCGGAGACGCCCTGCGGACGGAAGCAGAAGCCCACTATCGCCCTGCAAGCGTGTTTGCAATTCGGGGATTTCTGGGTTTAGGGTTTGGGGTTCTTGAGGCGTTGAAACGATGCACTCTGGGACCCTGAACCTCAAAACCCCACCAAACCAAACTGAACCCTGTGACCCTGAAAAGCCGTTTAATGACCTCAGCTCCAGAACCCCACAACGCCCAACACTTCTCTACAGCCCGCTGCCCCAAAACCTAACTTCCAAGTCCGTTACGTCCATAACCACAATGTCCTGCACCGTAGACCCCCGCATCCTAAACAGTTTGCCGATGCTTTCGAGTCCTATGCCTTGGGCTAAGCGCACTATAGGAGCCGTCCCATACCAATTTTCCCCTCCAAGCCCTAAACCCGAAACCCCGAACCTGAAAACCTAAACCCAAAACCCAAAACCCTAAACCAGCCCTAAACATCTCGCCAGGAGCTCAGGCAGCCTACTCGGGCCAGTCTCCGGCCCAGACTTCCGGTTCAAAAAGTTAGTGTGGTTGAGTGGTCGAGGGTCAGGGTTGGGTTTCGTAGAGCTCCGGTTCTGGGATTGGGCTCCCTAAGGTTGATAGGGTTTCGGGTCATCGGAGATTGTGGTTTTGGGCTTTAGGGTCAAAAGGTTTGCGGCTCATGTTGAGGGAGGTAATGTCCAACACCCTTTCACAAAGCAACTTCTTTAGGTTTGTTGAGGCCTGGGCTTTGAGGGTGTTTGGGGTGTTCGAAGTCTCCGTCCCCAAGGCCTTTTTGCAAAGCTCGTTGTTTTTCGGGGTGGTTATGGCTCCCAACCGTTTTTGAAAAGTTACATTTGTGTCCTTGAAGCCCGAAAGCCCTACAACATCTCAAAAACTCAGAGCTGCAGCGCCTCGTGGGGATGAAACGTTTTCTGGTAGTTGGGAGTAATTTGTGCTAGGTGGGTGGAACCCAGACCCTAAACCCTATCCCTAAGCCTAAAGCCTAAAGCCTAAAGCCTGAACCCTGAACCCTAAACCCTAAACCCTAAACCCTAAACCCTAAACCTTAAACCCTAAACCCTAAACTCGAACCCCAAACCCTATACCCTATCCCTAAACCCTGAACCCTGAACCCCAAACCCGGGAGCTGCAGGGGTCAGCACTACCAGCAGATGCTCCGTGGCGGCGACGCTGCGCAGCAGCACCTGATGAACGAGCGAGAGCGCCAGAGGCCGCCACTTCAGGGGCTTTTGGGGGTTTAGGGTTAGGATTTACTGTTGGGATAGCTCCCCTTTAAACCAACTGTCCTCAACAGTACCCCCCCGATTATAATCCCTACTAAGGACTGTTTGTATACGGGGGAACATCCGAAAGTTTAGGACTTACGGTTTCAAGATTTGAGGGGTTTAGCGGTCAGGGCTTAAGCTTCTAAGCTTCCTTCGAGACTTTCCAGACGCAAGCCTTGTTCTTGCACGATGTCGGCATTACGCCCTGAATGCGGTGCTTATAGACTGGCTTATGACGTGACTTCATTGGATGGGGTGCGACCGACAAGGATCTACCATTCGTTCGGTAAATTGACAGGCTTGCAGCGCAGCAAGCAGCTGCTGCACAGCAGCATCACCACGGCGGCTACGTGATAGCGGACAGCCCGGCTGAGGTTTCGGTTTTCGGGTTGAGGGCTGAGGCTGCCTCTTCTTCGCCGGCCCTCAAACGAGTTGTCCTGCACATGTGCAGTGTTCGTGATGTGCATCTACCGAGTAAGGTTCAAGAGGCTGCCACCTGAGTCATCGGGCTAGACTGTATACCCACGGCTCCTGTAAAGCTCGATGCTTCACCAGCCTGGCCAGTGTCAAGTTGGATCGGATGACCTTTGGATGGTTTCGGGGTTGGTGTTCACCTTTCCATTCAATCCCTTGCCGGGGAGTTGCATCCCACCTGGCAGAAAAAACTTCGGAAGGACGAGTGCGGGTTGCAAAATGAAGTGTCTTCCCTTGTAGTTTAGGAATCTTAGATTCCATGTGACAACGCCTGATGCACCGCCTGGGACGCGTAGGAAGAAAGGATGATCGCTGACACCTTGCCTCCGCCCTGGTGCAGGGTTTACATGTTAGGGTTCGGTGTTTGCGGTCAGGGCCCAGGGTTCACGTCAGTCTACATCGTGTCTCAAAGTTGGCCAATGAAATGTCCCCGACAGCTACCATCCAGGATGCTCCACGGCAAGCCGCATTGAATGAGAAGCATTGAGCACTGCAGTCAGCTGCAATGACAGACAGAGGTGCAGTCATGGCAATATCTAAGCCCCAAACCCTAAACCCATATAATCCTTCTCTCCTAGGCCCGAAATCGGAAGGCTCTGACGCTGAAATTCTCAACCCTGGGGCCCCGTGCGCCCACAACTAGACCGGTGTGGATGGATTTTGTGGGTTGTGTCTAGATCGGCCGTTAACAGCCGTGAATTTTAGAGGGCGTCCAAGAACA